ATTGTCTCCGACTCCGATCGTGGTGATTGTGAGGGGTTCTTGACCTTTCCCCGGTGGAGCGCCAAAAGGTACTCTAGTAAATTGCTTGTGGCTTGTGTGATCCTCATCTTGTGTTGGTTGTGCGGCACCCTATTGAGGGTTTGGCGAGTGATGCCAATCAGCGCGTGAACCTCCAAGTGGGTGAATCGCCACAACGAGGACTAGCTTACCGGCAAGCAAGTGAACCTCGGTAAAAATCATTGTGTTCATCATTTGATTCCGAGGTGATTGGTCTACATTGGTATTCATTATTGTGATTGATTGGTTCCTACCACTACACGGCGGTATAACTCTCTTGCTCACTCTTACATTACCGCAAACTAGTTATCAAGCTCTTTAGTGTAGCTAGTTGTGAGAGCTTGTTTGTTTGATTAGTGTTGCTATTTAGTTAGTCTTTGAGAGCACACTATTTTAACTAAGTGTCATAGCTATTGTGTGGACATACACTATTCGAAATAGAATTGTGGTAGGTGGCTTGCATTTTAGTAGGCTAGCGCAACACTCGCTTCGCCGTAAAATTGTCTAACACATTTTGTTAAGTGTTGTTGTAGAATTTTATTAGGCTATTCACCCCCCTCTAGCCATTAGGACCTTTCACCTATTCTTCAAGGAATTGCTTCTACATAAATAGGAAAGAATGAATTAGGCACACAAACGAGGTTGTGCACATAAATAGATGTCATACATACTTGTTCGTTGCTTAGACCCTCCTCGCGTATTGGCGCTTGTGTCCGACATTGATGTTTCTGTTTTTATATTTTTTTGGCTTGGTGGTCTGCTGCAGGGTGGTCTGACCAGTAGTGCGCGTCATAAGCTGAAAACAATTAATAAGATAGTTAGGATCGTATGAACAACAACATATTGATGGTATGTTTCGAAACTTAGAGTTCCTCCATCTAGACCGGCCTGATTAAAAGCATGCCATCGAAGACCAGCATTGTCTTCAGTCCACCTCGCCATCAGTGGTGGTTGGATTGTCTCGTAATTGATCCCGTACTTGGTGTACGCAATGACGCGCTCCCAGCACAAAAACTATGAACACAATGCAAAAAATACATAAGACCAAAAGTAAACATTGTTTATAGGTGGCTGTAGCTTATAAAACTGACCTGCAACAAAGTCAAATTACCATGTATGTTGACTTGTTTCTTAACTATGTAATTATTACATGAGGTTAATAAATGGGTCAAAATGAATTGGCCCCAATTGAGTTTTGGAATATCTGATATTTTTCTAACCACGGGTAGATAACTAGCTTTAACATAGGGCTTCACAGTTTGTGCTAGAATGACACCAATTGTGAATAAGACATATAGTCTTTTGAAGTCATCATCCGGAGTGCCTGATTTCATCATCATTTGTTTCAACTTGCTTATTGTGAGAAGGTGGTCTGCATCTTCATACCTCTTCATCAATTCAATGTCCACTTTTTTATCTTTATCTTTGACCTCCTCTTGGTTTACATGTTTAAAAACATCTATACCTTCAATCTAGAGTCCCATTATGTCCCTGACATCCTCTAGATAAATAGGAACATTCTGACCACATATAAAGAAGCATTGGTTGCTGATTTGGTATTTGTTTGCAATTTTGTCAATCATTTGTCTTCTAAGACACGTCCCTGGCATACGAAGTAGCCCCCAAATCCCATAGACTTAATAGCATCCTTGTGGTCGCTCGATAAGTCTTTTATAGCGTTTACAAAACTTTAAGTTGAGTTTATTAAATGCATATATTTCTGCAACAACCAGTTGATCGATGATAAGTTGCTAACAATGCATAGGCAACTTGCACAAAAATAGGAACTGGATATTGGGTATGGAAATTACCTGCTTCTTGGTCCCTCCCTGCACTTTTTCAGTATGAACCCTGGTACCACTGTCAACTGCATCAAATGATGTGAATAAGAAATGTTAATAATGAATGCTGCAGTTGTAATCTGGTTATGTGCAAAAATAGGTTTTCACTGATTATAGAGTTTCATTGAGTCTATTTTTATTTTTAGGGATAGCAGCAATGCAACAGCAGGCGAGGAATAGCAGTTCAACCACAGTGATAGCAGCAGGGCATAGGTAAATTTTTAGACTTTGTTAATCTTTTGTTAAAAAGATCAATTCTTTTGGCAATTGCCCTTTGATCCGGAGAATGACCAAGAGGAGCACGTGAGGGACCAGCTGAACAAAGGAGTTGTACCTGAGGACATTGATGTTCACTGCTTGCCGGCCTGATTAAGGTAGGACATCTGTCAGCTTGAAACAACCACGAAACTATGTTTAAATTGGACAATTAAATTGGACAAGCATAGTTCAGAGAACTGAATCTTCTGTACATTTGAATTGGCCAGGCATGGTTTAGGGAACTTCCAGAAGGTGTCCTCGATGAACTGGAGGCTCATATGAACTCAAACATAGCAATGATTTATTCCCTGTAGGCTTTTACTAGAGAGGAGACTGGAGGCTCATATGAACAGATTGGACGGTTTTACATGCTCAAACACCTCTTGTTTTTTTTTTTAAAATAAACTCAATTCTGGTTGTAGCTAATTTCAATGCACTACATCTGTCTGGCATAGTAGCATTGCTGTTTCAAATCAGGAAAATTACTCTTTACTGTTCCTCTCTATATGTTGACACTAATGCTCATTCTCAGTCTACGGGTGCGCCGTGTTTGTATGTGTGTGTGTGTGTGTATATATATATATATATATATATATGAAAGGTGGTGCAGGTGTGTCTGTAGCTTCTGTCCCTTGGCAGCTAGGGCCCGGATCGAATGAAAGGAATCGGTGGTGAACAGTGCGAAAGATGGAACAGCATCGGGCGTGCATGCATGACGGGTTCATGTGATGGATCCAGATGTATTAAGCTAAGCCTCACAAATCAGAAGCCATGTCTAATAGCAGTAGATCTTAGTACTAATTGCAGTGGTGTTTATGTGGCACAATAGCAGTACATGGTTTTCGTCCTTTAATCGTGGAGATCGTAGTAGTAGCACAAATGCATACATCAAATTAATATGAAGGAGAGATGTATATCAGTTACCTTCAACCCTGGTGCTGTTTGCAGGCGATGAATTACTGTGCCGTCTTCTTTCTCCTGTGCTATCCATGGTGCCGAGTGGTGTAGCCATTGCCGCCGAGAGAAACTGTGCCGCCGAAAGAAACTGAGAACGGAGAGAGGGACGCGGGTTGTTGAGATCCTATAAATTAGGAAAGTGGAACTGAAATGGCCACGGTGAGTCACGGTACCCGTTTTGAAATGGCGGGCACATTCCCTAGAACAGTCAATGAGAAGAGATGGTAAGCCCATCGCTAATATGCTATTGGGCCATATTGGGCCGACGTGGCTCCCTACTGTGGTTAAACTTGTCTTTGGCAAGTTGCGCATTTGGCCTATTTTCCATTTTTTTGGAATTTATTTAAAAAAAATTTATGAACTTAAATTTTAGAATGGTTTGCTTATCTTTTTATAAAAATGCATTTCCCTGTATTTCCCCCCTTTAGATGTTGCCCCACTAAATGTGCCACGTAATAAGCACTACATGATAGGAATTAAGCCGATATTCTCACTTGTCGTCTGAGTGGACAAATAGGTCTAACACGATAAGAAGTCAACCCATAACTCTCATGTCTCATATTAGTGGACTTGTAGTATTGGCACGACAGCAACTGAACCTCCACTCTGACGTCTCGTCTGAGTGGCACTAACATGATAGTAGTTGGACATGATGGGGCACTCGGTGGCATATGACATGGTACTCCATAGGACGAGACTGCATACCAAGTTGTTGGTCATGACGTAGCACTATCAGTACGACACCACGACATGTACAATAGCAACTAAACCGAGTTGTTGGTCATGCCGTGGCATTATCAGTACGACGCCCCAACATGGTAGTATTTTCCATTTTTTGGCATTTATTTAAAAAATAATTTTCTCCACTCAAAAAAATAAAAAATAATTTTATCAACTTACATTTTAAAATGGTTTCCTTATCCTTTAAAAAAACATTTCCCTCTATTTTGCCCCTATATATATATGCCACTGTAATAACCAACTACTTGTTGCTATGTAGTCATCATATGCCACCGAGTGTCACGTCATGCCCAACTGCCTTTTAATAAGCACTATATGATAGGAAGCGAACCAATAGTCCTAACATGATAGGAACTAAGCCGCTATTGTCACGTGTCATCTGAGTGGGACTAACATGCTAGTAGGTGGATACGATTGGGCACTCGGTGGCATATGACATGGCACTAGATAGGACGAGACTGCAGGCGAAGTTGTTGGTCATGACGTGGCACTATCAGTACGCCACCACGACATGTACCTACGAGTGAGACTACCAAATTATTGGTTATGACGTGGCAATATCAGTATGACACCACGGCATGTACGTACTAGTGAGACATGATTGGATGAACATGTCCTCCTAGCGAGACATGATTGGATGACGTGCCACTCAAGTTGCTAGATATAAATATTACAATGAACTAATTTGTCCTTGCAGCAAGTTCTTGTATGTTTGAAACAATATAAATATTTTTATTTGAAAAACTTAAATAGGTTTTCTTATCTATAATATTCATCATCCATATGACCATGATACAAATAGGTTTTAAAAAAATTATAAATGCAGTTCAAATGCTGTATTTAAAAGTTTAAACAAAATTTGTAAGAATATGACCATGATACAAATATGTTTTCCAAAAATATATATGCAGTTCCAATGTTGAATTTAATTAAACAAAAATTGTGAAAAAAATTAAAAAGATGCATTTGTCTAGGCCAGCCAAGGAGTCTATAAATTAGTAGTTTCCCTATCCCTGATGCGCATCCCAGCAATTCGCATCTCATAACCGCCGCCGCATCCGCTCCATCTCTGTGGCCTTCCGGCTTCGCCTCCCAACTCGACTCCGCGCTCGCTGCCCGTCCCTGTCTCGAGCGGCAGCCGCCCTCATGAGTCGCCCCGCGCCCCCGTCCCCGTCCTCGTGTCGCGCCCTCCGCCGGCCAGCTGCCCGCTTGCTCCGCGCCGGTGCGCCCCAGCCTCAGCCCTTCGGAGTCCGGCCTGACGGCCTGTGCGTCTCCTCATTTGGGCGGCGTCCGGCGGCCACAGGCAGCGGGCAGCGGCCAGTCCCAGGCGGCCAGCTCTCACTCTCCTGTCTCATTGGTGAGGTACTGAGGTATTAGTGATTCAGACATTCAGTGAATTCATTTTGGAATATTTCATATGTAGGGAAACTGTTGTATGTATACATACAGAGATGGAATCCTCATAGGACGAGATCTATTTTGATTTCTAGACCAAGATTTTTCCTGTTTCGTCAAAAATAATGCTTTCACCTGTCTCATAATTTTAGTAACCTTGTATACGCTGCACCTGATATTTGATTAGTAATTGTTGTCTGCCTCTGACAATAGCATAACAAAATTCTGAATCTGCTCAATATAATGCTGAATAAACATGACAGAGATGCATAGTGAATTTGAATGAACTAGAACAGTCTGTTAATGCTGTATTCCTCTTTGTGTACACATTTACTGATAGCTTATATGGGTTAGAGGCTTATAGCTACCATTTTTTCCAACATCATACTTTTTGTGCAGCTATAGATGCAATCTATTGTCTAATACATTATGTTGAGCAATATATTTTACAGAAATAGTGTATTATTTTTATTCTCTACTACTGTCAATGATTCACTGCTCAAAACTTAAGCCATTTTTATTTGTTTATGATTTACGAAACTGCTACGTCAAACTTCAGGTACCATGGATCTTACAAACCACCTCAAGGAGTGGGACGAGATGGCTACCAAACTAAAGGCGGACTTCGAGGATATGAAATTGAAGTTACAGCTTGACTGTTCCGACGCTGACATCAGAACAAAACAAGTGCAACAACAAAATGAGCGGTACATAATTTCTCAGCGAAAACTGCTGGACGAAGGGTCAACCATTGAGCAGAATGACGTTGCTGTGAGAATGGAGGTCGCACTGGGTCGTCTGCTGAAGCAAGCGTTACATGATCAGCGTGCTGCCTTTGCCGAGAAGCTAAAGCAGGAACGCGCCGTCTTAAATCAATCCTTATCAAAGGTCCTTGAAGAAAATGATGCCAACATAAAGAAAGAGCGAGCCAACGTTGACTCCATGATTAAGCAGGCAGGGGAACAAATGGATAAGGAGTTGGATAATGAGCGCTCAAAATTGAAGTCAATGATTCAGTCCTTGATCGAACAAGAGGAGGGCCGGTCCTTGATCCAAGAAGAGGAGGTCCGTGCCAACATGAATGTAGAGGTAACTACAGTACGCTAGTATTTCATATTTTGCATTACATAGATAGCCATTTGAACGCCTCGAATCTTTGCACTTTCAGGTACAAGATGGGATCTACATACCACGGAAATACATGCATATATTATTGGACAACGAGTGTGGCCCGGTATATGAAATTTTCGTATAGTTTCCGTGTAAGAACTCCGTGTGGCCAAATTGTCCTTATTCATCTAATCTATACGTGCAGGATGTTGTAATGCGATTTATCCTTCACTCAGTGAAGGAACTTTATTCGGATCTGAAGAAGTACTACGACAGTCGAGAAGAATTAGGCCAGTTTACAATTACAAAACCAGCCACTACTGTTAAGTTTGTCACGATGTTGGGGGCTTTGAAACCTTTTGGATATAGGCCTCAATCCTGCTCCTGGGAGTCAGCCATCAACTGGGTTAGTACAGATTGACGGACAAGAAGAGGTAAATGAATTGGTGCTTGCTCATGAAAAAGAGGGGACTAAAATTTGTCATCTGTACCTAGTGAAAGGATGTAACGACGATTTGCATGGCGTGAGTATTGGTTCCTCTCCACAAAAAAAACTACTTCATACAACCATATATGTATAACATGAAATGAACTTAATGTAGGACATGTCGGACATGGAAACGGACTACAATGAGGAAGAAGAACGAGGCTACTATGACGAAGAAGAACAAGGTGACAGTCCCATGCCATGAAGAAACGTGCTGTCCATACTCCGAGGAAGAAGAACAAGGTGACAGTTCCTCTGCGCTTCATCTTTTTAGGTTGCATTATGTTTTGGTTCGAAGTTAGACTCAGTGTGTTACATCTTTTTTTAAAGTTAGGTTGGAAGTTTGATTATATATTAATTTAAGATGCGTGTGTTAGAACTCTGCGTGTGTTACAATCTTGAGGAAGCTAATGAGCTGTGCAATGCTACAGCTTGGTGCTATTCTGTCATGGTTATGTGTTGCTCTGTAGCTGGCAGAATGACGATGAGTGACATTCAAACTACAGTGAATCCAAAGGAGATAGTGCAAAATCGTTTGATGATGACAACGACTATCCTAAGAAGCAAAAGGATGACTATCGTAAGAAGCAAAAGGATACTTGCAGCACACAACGCTGAGTAAATTAGATTTGTTAGTTCTGATGACTCTTTCTTTATGATATGATATTGTCATAGAAGATGGTGCACATAACCATTTTCCTCTTGGGATTAACATCAATCTGATCTGTGAATTGTGTGGGTTGCGAGTGATATGAGATCTGTATACATGTCATTGACCATTGCCTTGATGTAATTGTGGTACACAATAATAAACCTGACTCTTGTGCATATCTTTTTTTTAAAGATGAAAGAGAAATTAGGTTATCGTTGACAAATGGAAGTAAAACGGGAAAGAATAGTTCACTCTGTGCACACCACGCAGCTGCTAATACATACTATAAAACATCTGGTAGTTCTGATGATGTATGTCCGATGCAGATGTTCTTCACAAGTTCCATATGGTCATGATCTTGTCTCAAGTAGAGGATCATACATCGATGAGTGGCATGCATATTGACTTGGCTGCTGTTCAGAACCGGCTTTGTGTATGTCTATTAACCTTATCTTTGAACTATGGAAATTTTATTATTATAATTTTATTTGCTCTGTTTAGTATACTGTTTCAATAATTTTACTGTACCATTTTACATGCTATTTTGACTTTTGTGGATAGTTTTTCAGCTTTGTATCTAGCTTAGTTTGGTTTTCCTTTGTATTGTTGTCAGTTTATAATTGGTCAATCCAGGCATGGGGATTTTTACTAACATGATTTTGTTTCCTTTGCATGTGTTCGTTATGATAATATAGGTTTAAAGACCTTGTTCTTCCCCTGTGGAACCTTCTCGAGAATTGCTTCAGTCGCCAAGGACAGGCCAATGTGTAAGAATCTGAAAAGTGAAAATAGTCATTGCCTTAACTATGCCAAGTTTTTGTTGTATAGTAAATTTGTAATCTGTTAATTACTTAATTTCAACCATGTGGCATTCCATCTTGAGTCCAAAATTTTCTTTAAAGCAAGTAAAATCATACATCCTTTCAAGTAGAATGCTATCACACCTTTTGTGAGCTAAAACCTTCTTTACACGGTATTTCTGTGTTGTTTTCAGCTTCTGGAGAGGCTTGCAATGACATTATGGCATACTCCCTAATATTGTCCTGCTGCTGTTATACATGCTGTGTAAGGAAAAAGCTTCGCCAAAAGATGGACATTGCGGTAAATATTTCAGAATGTGTTACTAGTTGATATTAAGTAGAAATGCTCATTTCTTAACTTGGCACTGAACTACCTCTGGGATTGACCATACCATATGCAAGTGACTGATTAATTGCTAAAACCAGAATATCCAGCAAAAACAGCTTTCGATTATCTTGATGAAATTAACTTATACAGCATGTCCATTTTACCCATTACTATTGAATAGGTTTGGCAAGAGATTGTGTACATACGTAACTTGACAATAGCTTTCTTTATATACTAGCGAACTTATTGAAGCCTTCAGTACCAGAAGTTTAAATGGTGTGCTTCTAACAGGGAGGCTGCTGTGATGACTTTCTTTCACATCTGCTGTGTTGTTGCTGTGCACTTGTTCAAGAATGGCGGGAAGTTGAGATCCGTGGAGCATATAGTGAGTTTCCTACTTGAATGCTTCTTGTAAACCATGGCTAAATTAGGCCTGGGTCATTCAGGTTCAGGAAACAGAAGGGCCAGCTGCCCTCCTGATAATAAAATGAAAACATTGTAGTAAAACTCCTTGTATCTACCACTAGTACTTTGTAAGCACTGTTTTCCAACATTCGATTCAGCAATATTAATCTCCATGTGCCTCATTTCATGCAGGCGAAAAGACGAAGGTTACCCCACCGCCATGTCAATATATGGAGCATTAAACAGCCGTATGCCCGTATGGGTAGACCTGAACTTCTGTAAAGATATTAACAGAATATCTGATATCGTACTGCCTGAGTAGTGATACTACACTATTTCTGTGTAGTATTTATGCTTACTGTCCATTGTTCGTCCTGGTACTTCCATGTATATGTTGGGGCATAGCAGCAGAGTATGTACTTTGTAAACACATCAGTTACAGGCCGATAGAGCCTAACATCGGTTAACACCGTCAGTTCTTGGCAAGAAAGTTCTCTGTGCGTGTGCCTTTCTACCCTAATAGCAGTTACAAAAAATGAAGAGCTCTAGTCACAAATTGGAAAGATCGACGGAGCCCAGAATTTTAGTAGTATAACAGATGAACATTGCAGAAATGGGACCTTACAAGGGTGATGTAGATGAAACAAACACTGATTTATATCTTCCTTCTGAGCTATGGGACATCAGGCCTTCATTCTGTGCTTTCATCGCGAAGAACTTGTATAATGTCACTGAAGTGTACGCATTCTTGGGAGTATATGAGCATGATTTGTCCTAAAGCTACCCATCCTAAGATTATGCCCTCAATCTAAACTCATGCTTATTAATTTTCAAATCACTTTAAACACGTAATCGTTGACTCGTTGTGACCCAAAATTTACAGCACACCTTGTCTCCGATACTCGCTACAGATTCTTGTTGTTCAGTGTTGGTTTTTGCTTTGAACTTAGTTGAAAAAGACAGAAAAGTAAAAAAAGAATTCCATCTTTTCACAGCGCAATATAACACAAACTTCCCTACACACCCAACCTTGCAGCCTCCAGGAGCTCAGGCTTCAGTCACTGCGCGCACAGGCAAGTGAAGCGATGTGCTAGCTGCTTCCGGCCTTCACCCTTCTCAGGGACAGGTAGGCCAGCACCCAGTACCCGATGATCATCGCGACGAGAGCTGCCACCTCAGTGGCACCGTTGTCCATGTGTTTCGTGGTGGTCAGGATGTCCGGCACGGGATCGTACTGCACCTTCAGCAGGAGCCTGTAGGTGTGGTAGTTGAAGGACAGGTAGCGCAGCCAGGAGATGAACGGCGGAACCCTCTGCAGACCATCAGAGTCGAATGAAGGCAATGCAGGGAACAGAAATATTCAGTGGTCCAAGCCACACACATTTCCGCGTGTGGTAACTACTTCAGAACTGAATTATGTAGTGCACTAACCTTTACAAAGAAGCCTCCTGCTAGCATGAATGTCAGGATAAAGCATAAGATTGATGCGTGCAAGCCATCAGACAACAAGAATCAATTTGGAATTCAATATATGAATGATGAATCAAGCTTACAAAGTTATCTATGTAACAAGTAATTAAAAAAGAAGCATTCATCTCATTTATCATTAATGGTGTTGAGTTAAGCTATAATCAAATAAAATAAATCCCACAACTCAACCAAAATGGAATCAAAGCAATTCAAACTTCTGTAAACATATAATAATTATGAGGATTTCAGATACAACTCAACCAAAATGGAGCCCATCAGTGTTCAGGGTATTTTTTTTATAGATAGCAACCAATACAAGCAGCAGAGGAATTCATAGCAATTGCACCAAAGTACTCAACTGTCTGAACAACTCAAATTTTACTTCAAATTTAAGATAATGCAACCATAAATTCTACTTAGAGATCAGGAAACCTCTACCGTAAATCTCCACTACACAAACAGCACAACTACCACTCCAAAATTGCAGATCTAAAGTTCCAAACAAATGAGAAACCGCTACCGCACCATGCCACCACAACGTAACACAGGCTACTACAAAGCACATCTCTACATATATCCGAACATCAGGCAGGCACTACGAATTAAGCTATCAGTTTTCAGCTGTGCAAAATAGCAGCATGTCAATTTGCAAAGATGATGGAAAATCATAAGTTGTTCACCAGCGTACCTATAAACAATAGGCAACAACAAACTCATTATTGGCAAATCATATATCAAGCACATCTTCAGGGAGCTTTGATTCCGACAAATGAAGAGGACAAACATCAGTCATAACTACACATGCCTCGCAGATGGCCTGTTTTCAACTTAGATGAACTACCTCTTTTCTCATGGAGCATGTTCGCCGATTGTGACCCTTATCCTTACACAGGCTATATTTGACCTTAGATTTCTTCGTATTTGAAATTGACTTCAAATTTTTCTTTGGGACCCCTCTTCCAGGCACATGCAAGGGATCCAGCACATTACTAAACGCTACAGAATCAACATCCGGGGCTTGTGGCAGCACCGGACCATACCTCTTGCCTTTGTTATCTCCTCCATTTGATAGGTTCATAGCAGCTTCATCCTGCAGAACGTGTTTCAGCCGCTCATATGATTCAAGTGAACGAGATGCTGCGAAGGCTACAACGTGACTGATATTGCGTAGCTCACGGTACCTCTGTAGGCTTTCGGAATAGTCATATATGGTGCTCTTCATTTTCGGAGGAAATGCACTCTTCGCCCCCATTGTCCACCTTTTTAAAACACAACAGTCTGGAAGCTTGTCTTCATCCAGATCGCCCAATACAAAGAAGATGTGTGAGCAGGGGGTTTCAATCGATTGTAACTTACCACAAGAACAAGAAATTCTCTTCAGATTGCCCTCATCACAAAATTGACATTTGACATAGTACATCATGTCTCCTTTATCCTTCCTGCCAACAATATACTCACTCATATTATCGCTATCTAGAATGTCAATCGAAAAACACTTCTTGGCTACCTTTATGCTGAACTGCACCGTGGTGAAAACTGTTGGAGTGAACGATTTCACGGCTTCTATCTCAATAATTGAAGCATCTAGTTTTGTGCATGCCTTAGATTGTAATGCATCAGTGTCCAACTTTGCCTCATTTGTGTGCAGCCCTGAAAGGCAGTGCTCCACGTGCTTTACCATGTCAAGCAGTGTCATTTTACGATCTAGACGCATATGAAGCCTAGAGTTTAGGCTCTCACTCCGTTGGTTACTCCTCAGTCCTAAGTAACACTTACCAGCATGATACGAAGCACACCAAATTTCCCTCATATCATACATCTGATACAACCATGACTTCTTATTTGTAACCTTATGCTTATCCAAAAATTCCTGCCATTTTCTCTCGGTCTCTTCTATGGACCAACAATCATAAAGGAAACTCCTGAATTCATCCTTAACAACATCATCCTTAAGATTACGCACAATGTTCTGCTCAATATGCCATATGCAGAGCCTATGCGATGAATTCGGCCACACCAACCTGATTGCTCTCTGCATAGCAAGGTCTCCATCAATGATCATAGAGACCGGATGCTTCTGAATCATGGCCTCAGAAAATGTACTCAGCAACCACACATATGACTCAATATTCTCATGAGAAATAATTCCACATCCAAAACTAACTGTGCTTAGATGGTGATTCACCCCAACAAAAGGAACAAGGGATAGGTTGTACCGATTAGTTTTGTAGGTGCTATCAAATACAACGACATCACCAAATGCTTCATAATCAAGCAGACATTGACTATCACACCAGAATAGTCCCTTCAGGTGTCCTTCCCCATCAACCATGTACTTGAAAAAGAAATCAGGATCTCTGCGCTGAAGTTCCGTCAGGTAACTGATGACTATTTGAGCGTCACCGACAGCAATTGTCTCCGTCTTATAGCGATGGCAGAAATTATACAAGTCCCTTGTTGTACACCCAACCTTATCATACCCACCATACTGCGTTTCCAAAATATCCATTATCTTATGTTTGCGGATCCCAAAACTCTCCATCTCCACAATCTTAGCTTTCTGCTCATCGCTGATTCTTCTATGTGAACGTAGCAGACAAGTAAGCTCTGCTGGCGCCATTGGATGGTTGTGTTCATCGATGAAATCCTTCACATACCACTGCCCTGTGATCTGATCTCGTGCAATCACAAATTTAGCAAGGCATCCAACACGAGTAATATTCCACGGCTTCCGCTTCTTAATCGCCCTCTTCAGTTGCTTCTCTTCACGGAAACCTTGACGACTGCAAACGAACTTCCGAAGAATCATCTCATTGTGGCCATTGTCCCACTCATAATAGCTTCTCCTCACACTAAATCCTTTCTCAAAACCATAGTTGTTATAGAACTGAAATCCTTCTTCTTCATTAGCAAACATCTTCCTAACAATTTCAATGTACTCCAGTAAAGACTCAAGATCCAGCATTTCCTCCTATATCCATCAACAACATTAAACAAATTAAAATTCCACGGAACAAATTAGACTAATTGAAGAAAGACATGGCTCCTATCAAGCATATGGACTAATGTTGTAGAATAAGTACAAGTTTAAGGATTGCCCTTGTATTTTACTAAAAAATATAAAAATATATCAGCTTCAAAAATAATATCAATTCTTTGTAAAACTGCATATATGAAGTTGTAGATTCATATAAGTCGTAAGAAATAAGCTACCTAATGTGTTACCAAAGACAGTTTAGTAAGTTCAAATATATTCAATTAGTATGTAATTATAATTGAAGAGGGCTGTGGTCTTAGGAAGAGTATCACATGATCACCAAGCAAGCAACCACCCTAAAGCAAAGTGCTTTCACTAAAAGGTGCATGCAATTATTCAGAGTCCAAACTCAAATCGTAGTTGGCTATTACTCTAATGACCAGTCCTTTGTCATTTGCTAGTGGCCCATTAGGTGAGATTTTCAGAGTTAATACCCAAAAGCATTGCTTTAGCTAGGAAGATGTATGCATTTTTTTGGAGTACTACATGGGCAAGATTTTCAGAGTTACTAGTATTTACGGAAAGATAGAGCAAGTTGCCAACAAATAGTGAACTGAGTGGAGCAAGTTTTGTGCAGGAAAGTTTTCAGATTTACGGCAACAACTGGGGCGGTGCTAACCATTCTCCACATACTTTCCCTCTTATCTTGAGAAAAGGATCTTCCATTTTTCCCTCTGTAAATAAAAAAATACAGCTGGCTGTGCTACAGGAGTCTGCAGTTTTGAAGCTGCGGCCGCAGCCGAAAGTAGCTGAAGCAATGATCTTACACAAGAACAAACTTATCGGACAACCATTCCGTTGCTGGTAACGGTAAGCAAATGCAAACGCAAACTCAAACAAGACTAACAACAATGATCTTACATGGTGAACAAATTTATTGGACACAAACGTATGCTTATAACTGATTTGTCTCAACAACATACTAGTTCTGTAGAAGTTGGGGCTCACTAAAATCATGATCCAGTGGCACAAGTGTTGGAAAGTATTACAATCAGGATTGCGCATCCAAAGTTGCATCACAGGAGAGAAGGAATCCACCAAAGAAATGATGCGTCAGAATCTAGCCATCTTGTAAACCTCCTGAATAAAATTTGAACCTTATTTACGAAAAGGCATGCATTCACTAAAAAGATATATGCAGCATTGAGAACTGTCTAGAGATTTTCAGCAGCAAGTCACATTTTTCTCATCATGATTCAGGATCACTCTAAGGCATGCAGCGTTCAAATGATAAAATAAGAAAATTGCAATGAGTACTGTCAGGAGAGAACTATTATATTGGACTGTAGTAACCACCAAAACAGCAAGTTAATCAGAAAATTCTCAATGCCAAGTACAAATTGGTCAGCTGAATCTTAACAAAAAAAACCCATCTTGCCATTAACTATACAGAATCTTAGTGCAGCTCCAAGCAGATAAGACCTATATCTTCTTCATTAGCAAACATCCATGTTCGAAACACAGCTACTTATCAATCATCACTTTGACTCATGTTAAAAACTGTAGACTACAAAATAGGATGCGGCCTCAATGGTTTTTGATTAAAAAAATTCTTACTCCCACAAAATCAGAACATTTGCGAAGAGACAACAACAAAAAAAGATATACGAAAGCCATGGCATGGGATCCTTAGTCTAATCTTATGTACTATTTTAGTACCGTTGCATCATCGAATTCAGTTTCTCATCAGCTGTTTACATTTAATCGTGGACAGTACATTAAAACTTTAGAAATTAAACACCGTTCTAAATAAACAACTAAAATGGTGGATAATAAACACTAAACATCCCATGCACAACAGCATGTTGTTCTCCTCCTCTAAACTGCTACGAACATACACTATTCCCTCCGTAAAAAAAATCTCAATTTGTGCTATGAATCTAAACAAAACATACGGAAGTGTAGAGCATGGATCGAGCGAAGGTCTAAGTCGAGTTATTAAAATTCAAAACGGTTGCCATAAATCTAAACAAACAGTAGGAAAGCGTAGACCACGGATCGAGTCAAGTCGAGTTATTAAAATTGAAAACGGAATTGAGGAGCACGGCGTGGTATGTATGATACGGAAGCGAAGAGCAGTACGTAGGCACGTACCAGATCAGGTGAGGACTCGACTCGGGAGAGAAGACGGAAGCCGGGACCGGGACGGAGTTCCTTCCCTTCCCTTGCTGCTCGCATTGGAAGAAGATGTCGATGAAGACGAAGATGGTGGCAGGAGTTGGTGCTGCAGGCCGGCGGACGGTGGGCGCGCACGACGGTGATGAGGCGGAGTCGGTGCTGCAGGACGGCAGACGGTGGGCACGCACGATGGCGATGAGGCCGAGCTGTTGCGATGGGTGTGGACCGTGTCAGTGGAGCAGCAGCTTGACTCTTCTGTGTGGCAGGCAAGCAAGCAGAAGTCGGACCTCTTCTCTTGCTTCGGGGCCGCCCGGTTGCTTTATACGGCGTGCGCTTGGCTGGGAATCGCCGTCGCGGAGGACGAGATATTCTGTCGCCGCGATGGGGTTCGGGTGCGCGTGGGCGAGGGGTGCCGGGGGGAGGAGGGAGGAGCGACCGGTGGTGGCGAGGGCAGGCCGGTGGCGGCGGCGCCGCGCGATGGCGATGTCGAGGGCGAGGCAGCCGCGGCTAAGGCCGAGGGCAAGGAAGCCTCGCGTCCACGGACCTGCTCACGTCCTTCTGGTGCGCGTGGGCGAGGCGTGCGGGTTCGGGTGTGCGTGGGGGAGGGGTGACGGGGGAGGGGGAGCCACAAGTACCATATTAACCTTCCACTCATAAAATTAATTAGCGCTAATTAATTGCTTAGGAACTAAGAGGAACTAAGAAATACCCCCAACCACTGTAAAAGAGCTCAATCATTTTTACTTGGATCATGTATACAAGTACAAGTATACGGTGTTTCTGACCCAGTGACCCAGCGGTCGGTGTCTCTGATCCAATTTTGTGCTAAAAAAAAGTGAGTCGTGGAATGTGAAAACGAAGAACAATATGTAGGAGTAGGACTGGAACTCACGTAGCCCAGCAGAATGATGGATTCTCCGGCTGCTGATTCCAACATGTCGGTGTTCTTCCGTCCAGTAACGATCTCCAGGATGAGGACTCCGAGGCTGTAAAGGTCAAGCTTCACCGACAGTTGCCCAAGAACCGCATACTCCGGCGCCATGTATCCTCTGCCAAGTGCCAAGCATGAAAACAGCTGAGTTTTCAGATCGCGGAGAACTACTGCTCGACGAAGAAGCTAGGAAGAACACAGCACAGAGCAATGTGGCCCGATGTTACGGCCAGCGATAGAACTTATAGAATTCAGGGTGGTAGCAGCAGATCAGAGCACGGGAAGGGAAAGCAAAGCAGTAGGTCGGGATTAGAGGAATGCTTGCAGGAGAAGCAAGATAGTTTGTTACAATGTTTATCAACGATGATTCCTATATATATATATATATATATATATATGCTACTGCCAGCTGCCTGACCACGCCGTGGTCCAGTCGCTTCCGGACGCGGAACAGTAGACGGGGCAGCCATAACTCCCTCCCCTTGCGCGCCAGGTCGGCTCCGGACGGTGGCGCGGGGAAACTGCTACCGAAGGAACTCCAAGTCTTCCCAAGTGGCTAGAGATCTTGGTAGGTTACACCATTTAATCAATCCTTGAGATATAGAGTGCGTACCCTTGACCACCGAGCGAGTCTGCAATATCTGCTGAGGAACGCTCCACAGTACAGCATCAGACGGAGGATGATTGGTAACAGAATGGCGAGCACCCGCCGACTTCTTAAGCTAGGAAACATGGAACAATGGGTGCACTGAAGAGGAAGCCGGGAGCTCAAGCCTGTAAGCAACGTTACCAACGCGAGCCAGAATGCGATAGGGTCCGAAAAACTTCAAGGCAAGCTTCTGATTGCTTCGCTGTGCCAAGGAAGATTGCACGTATGGTTGAATCTTGACGAAGACCAGATCACCCACTTGAAACTGACGCTCTGAACGGTGCTCATCTGCTTGCCTTTTTATACTCTGCTTAGCTCGGTTCAGATGCGGCGAATGACATCGGTCATCAGAGCACGATCAGACAACCATGTAGCCAAATCAGTGACTGGCGTATCTGGCGAAGTGGCAATGCCAAATTGACGTGGAGCATATCCATATAGCACTTCAAAAGGTGAACGCCCCAATGCCGAATGCTTCGTTCAGATCGGAGAACCAAACTGGCGCAACCGGAGTGGTCCTCAGAGATCATGAAGGTCGGTGGTGTGGTGCTTGGGCGAAAAGGTATGAACATTGCTTGAATGCGCTGACTACTGAAGCCATGGCTTGCCGTGATGGGATGCAGTACGCGCTGAAGAGGGGTGTGGAGTACCTTCAGTTAGAGACGGACTGCAAAGTGTTGGTTTCATTGCGGGAGAAGAGCACTTTTCAGAACTCTGAAATTGGTCCTTTGCTGCAGCAGATCAATGATGTAAGCCGGAGCTTTGTTGAATTTGATTTGTTTTTCTCTAATAGATCTTGTAATAGATTAGCCCATGAATGTGTTAAATTAGTCTCCTGTATTAGGTCGGTGGAAGAGTGGCTTATACCACCACTAGCTCTACAGGAGATCATGTATGCCGATTGTAACCATGTTCATGACACTTGAATGAAGCTCCGGTTTGTTCTAAAAAAAAAGATGTTCGACGACAGGAAAGAGACAAGCGAGAAAGAAAATAAGGAACGAACCGGTAGGTAGGTAACTTTGGTCAACTCCAGAAATCAATTAGTTTTCGTGACACCCCGAGGCCTTGTTTGGATGTTATCGAATTCCCCTCAATCCATATGTGTTGAGGTAAATTGAGGTGGAATTTAGTTCAACTTCCACTCCAATCCACCCCAACACACGTGGGTTGATATAAATCTGACTACATCCTAACAAGGCCTGAGAGTGCTCTATAAAATCATTCGTGCGTGAGTATGCATTGGACTCTCTTTGTTTTTTTTTTGATAACTATTGGACTCTCTTTGTTAGCTGCCAACTTCAACTTGCATGTGTGAGTATTACAGAAATTACAGAGGATGTGATGTATGGTAGTAGCGTACCGTCTTGGTCGTTCCGGCCTGACGCACCCGCCGCCGGTGGCGCGACCAGCTTCATTCATTACTGGCTGCTGTCGTAGAAGGTTCACCACACCAGATTGAACTGTGCGCCGCTTGTGCCATTGAGTACGGCTGGCATATCCTCATCCTCCTCCCTGAGCCTGTCCAGGCACCCCTTGCACGGCTCCGGCGCGCACTGCACCAGCCCGTAGATGCTGTGCACTAGGGCGTAGCCCGTCGTGAACCCTTCCCCGGAGGTCATCACGCCGGCGGGCGGCGGCGTACCTCGACGTCGAGTTGTGTGCCGCCCTCGACGGTGATGTTGACCTCCAGGTTGAGCCCGTACCGTACTGCACCGGGGCGGTGGGATCGTTCGAGAACCTTAGGAGGAGGCGGTCGCAGTAGACGGAGACGTCCTTGATGCCCCTGCAGGGGGCAAGCCGGCAAGGGCGAGGCAGGACCGCAGCTGGTGCATCGCGGCAGTGCACGAGGCCCCACACCTGGTCCATGGCGCGGCCGGCCGACGGTAGAAGCATCCACAGACAGGGACCCGAGGGCCAAGGAGCGCAACGACGTTGAGGTCGATCGTATGAGTATGAGCCGGTGAAACGCATTGCCGAGTGGTACTTTCTGCATGTAAAAAGGACCTCCTGAACCAGATACGACCGTCGGATAAGCTCAGCGGCCGGCCGGCAGCGGTTACAAGTGGATTTTTGACCGCGTGGTGCAGAGAGAGCAGCCGTTGGTGCAGAGCAAGTTCATGATGTTGACCGCGTGGCTCCGTCTGGGGTGGTGAGCAGACAAGAGAGCTAGTAGGACAAAGACGGATACCACGGGGAAGGTGTTCATGGTAGTTGTTGATGCCAGCACAGGGCCGCTCCTTCCCCCGCTGTATTTTTGTTACCTTCGCTTTGGCCATTTGGCCTCGTAAAATGATCAGAGGGGCCGGAAGCAGTATACCTTTGGCGGTTTGTCCTGTCTGCATTTCGTGTTTATATAGAGTCGCTATAAGCCTATAATAACCCCGACAGTGGATTACATTAATTGTTACGTACTTAGCCGGCAAACCTACGAGGCTACGACCTGATATCCATCTATTACGTACTAACAGGCCGTGTCGTTTGCAGGTATACAGAGAGAGATCAACAAACCCTATACTATACCAACACATCTAATACTCCTCCTCAATCATAGCTTCATAAGGTTAAGATTGTATTTTAAATTTTCAAGTTGCCGAAAGAGATTTATTAGTGAACATATATGCAACTTGATCTCCTGAAGGAACAAAATCAATTTCCAATAATTTCCCTGACACTCTTTTCCATAAAAAAGGATAATCAGCTTCAATATGCTTTGTGCGAGCATAAAAAAACTAGATTTGCAGAAAGATACTTAGCCCTAATAACACCACACTTTGGCCGTATGAGGACACTCCTGTAATAGAGTATGAATCCACATAACCTCCGTAGTAGCATTAGCAACAACCTTGTACTCCTGTAATAAGATTCCTTGATACTCACCTTAGCCTGACTCATGTCCACAACTCTTTCATCCATAATACTAAGTTTGAGAACAATGGCAGGTATTGTTGGAGAAACCTCGGTGCAGCTCTTCGGTGCTCCCGTTTTCAGCCAAGTGTAACAACTAGTTGAGTGTGTTGCGCTATAAAGCTTGGCCGGGTTTATCAGAACTCTTGGATCCCCACCTAGTAGAGTTGGTTTTGGTTTTAGAACTTGAAATTAGCTATTCAAACCCCCTTTTAGCCATCACATAGATCCTTACAACAATGCACTATCGAATTAGGCGAAATCTCTTCGTGTTTTTGGCCTAGGCGAAATCTCTTCGTGTTTTTGGCCTACAGGATGGGAACAGAAAAAACCTGCTCCCTAATCACTCTCGATTCCCCTCTCTGTCCATGCTTATTCATTTCCTGTGCCCCTTTCCATTGACCACATCCCTCTCTAGGCGGCCATGTCGCCTCTGTCCATGGCTAGTGAGGTGCGCCAGGGCGTGCAGAAGCCATAGCTAGGAGGAATCGATGAGGTACTCACCATGGGTGATGGATTTTTGCGGCAAGGAAGCTCAAGGAGTAGGTTGTTCGCATCGCTGCCGCCTCCTCGCAATAGTAGGAGGCAGCACTGCTCCTGTTCTGCCTTGTGCCTCTTCCTTGCTTTCCCAATGGTTGGCCTTCCTTTTCCCTTCCTGTTGTGGCTCCTGCACCGTCGACCATGAATGAGGACTAGAGTTGACCTATGGGTGCTACCAAATGATTTAGTCATGAATCTATGTGGATTAGGATCGTCAGCTGCTGAGAGTGCTACCAAATGGAGCCTATATAATGCTGTCATGTACAAGGCCCTACTTGTAGTAGTTAGAAGATATGGTTGGACCTTATGGGCTTCTATACCGCTAACACACCTCTGTAGCGCCCTAGCCGCTAACGCCATCCACGCGTGCCTAGACACGAATCGAGGGGTCAAGCCCTTGCAATTCTCCACAATCGACCAATGGCCCAAATCTGCATGCCCAAGGCCTCACGCTAGCGAATGGCACAGATTGAAGCCAAAAAAGGAGTGACCACTCAGCATAGAGCATGGCGCGCGGCACCTCATTAACTCCACGACTGGATATGGGAATCGAGGAATATTAAGAGATTCCGCACTCACGGGCGGACCACGTGCAATAACTCACCTCACCCACTGACAAAGGGCCTCACGATGGGCCCAAGGCTTCCTCTGGACCACGACACTAGAGGTTCGAATGCCAGCTGGTGGATGGCACGTGGTCGTATCTGTACTAGGGGAATAAGCCAGCGATGGGCCCACTAGCGGTCTTTAGCATGGGCATGCAGAGCCCTGGCCGTCATGTAAAATGTAGCCTAAGCCAGCAAAGCTACTCCTGAACCCCTCAACAAGGGTGGGATACCGAGCGACACGATGGCACAGAGCCAAGTTGTTTGGCCCACGACAAGCAAGGAAAGCGGGGCACCCCATGTGAGCTCGGTTTAGTAGACCCCCAAGGGATTGATCGGGCTCCTACTCAAGCTTGATCGGTTTGAGCTCATCAAGGGCGTTACCTGGCCAAGAGACCATGATGGAGCTCCTCACGTCCTTAGGCAAACAATCGAACCCGAAATGGGGGTCCCTCCTTGGCCAAACTAACGGTCGACAAAAACGAAAGATCCCCTCGCCACCATCCTAAAGATGGCTCAGGAGGCTACGAGGGGCTCGAGGACTCCTGTTGAGTACCTTATAGAGGGACTACCTAAACCTCTGGATTAGTGCCATGACATTGTGATTAACCCCTAACTAATTCTCCTAATCAGCCAGGGCCTTGGGGGGATACACCCATCGCGTGCACTCGCACGCACACTTCGGACTACTATGAAAGCCTACTGCGCTTAAGATAGGCCACTTCTAGGAAAGGCCCCGATCTTAGGGAAACAGGCTTGGGTAGGCCTACGGCCAAGTCCCTCGCACCCGTGTGCTTGGCGGGCAGAGCCGCAGGGCACCAGACCTTGTCGAAGCTATGTCGCCTCAACCCCGTGAGGCTGTGTCGGCCAGTCATGGCTCAGGGTCAAGCCCAGGGAGTGAGGCAACACAATAAGCTCACGCGCACGGCCACCACATGAGGAGGTACAACCCTGTCTGCCAGTCTCTCTTTGCATCCAACCGCACCCTTAGTGTACCGCGAACGCCTCGAGGAGGATGATCTCAGGTGAGGCACAACGACAACTCCACCTTCTAATGGTCAGCTCCAGGCTCCTACAGAAGATGTCATAGGCGATTCAGCACTGTCGGCCACGACCATCTACGAGGGACGGAGCCCGGCGGCGCCAAACAACATGAAGAACCTGAAACCCTAGAACTCCCTTGGGCGCCAAGGGAGCATCCAGATACACATCTCCTGGTACTCCCCTGGCCCATCGGTATATAAGGTTGGGAAGGGGCACCTGTGGAGCGGATGAAAACATAGATCAATCCAAGAAACCCAAGATTATCTAGCTAGCGCTCTCCTACCATCTCTCTCTCCCCTATTGTTAGAACTCGATTGAGCATTTTAACATGAAGAAACATATGCTAGACATAGGGCTTAGACGACCAAACTAGGATAGATCTTTTGTGTCTTGAGTGCTAAACCCCCGAAATGAAACACATCGATCCACTAATCAGATCACTAATTACTGATCGTGGTATAGAAACCCACGACAATTACAAGCTCGATCTGTCCTCCCTAGGAGCGTATATGATGGTTAGGGTTCGTGTGAGAGGGGGAGGGAAACAAGAGACAACACCCACGGATAGAATGAAGGGGGGCGGCGCGCGGCCTTAATTCCTAGATCTCGGTGTTGAGTCGGGCCACGCCAAGGTCTACCGCTCGGCATTAAATGGCCTGAAGCCAAGGTCCGCAGGGCCCATAGCCACGCCGAATCCTGTGTGGCAACCGAGACCGGCGTCCTCGTTAACATCGTAGGGTGTCAGTGTGGCATGACAGCACGCCGAGTCACGTACATTGGTGTAGCGTTGTATGACGCCCAGCTTCGGGTCCATTTTGTTAGAAAAGATTTGGCGGGAAGTCTATTTATAAAAAAAAGTTTTTGAAAAGACTGAATATATAAAAAAATCAGTAGCCATGCACATGTGCATTGAGAAGCTACACCGCACTGCACGCAACCAAACCTCATGGGCTCCTGGTCCGTCTCGTGTTTTTTAATTATTTTTTATTTAATATTTTAATAATAATTGCTACTAACAAATCTGACTTTTTGGTCGCGCCAGCACGGTTGGCGCTATAAAATTACGTTGTCACGCCACATGCATTGGTGTGGCAAGATGTTCCGAATGACGTTTCCTGCGTGGAAAACCTTATCACACTACTCCCGCTAGAGTGACAGTATTGTTTTGTCGCGCCATCGGGAGTGGAGTGATAAAATTCAACCTTAGAAATGCTTAAATTATTGTTTTGATATCGGATGAAAAGATGATTTTTATATGAAAATTGTAGATCTCGATGAGAAATACAACTCTCTAGTTTATAAAATTTCCGCAGCATAATAATCGCGTACTAGCAGCCTATTCGTTTGGCTGTGGTTTGTCGTAAACGATCGTAAATTTTTAGCCGGAACAATATTTTTCTCTCACACAAACTAGCCAGCAGTACTTCTTCATAAACCAGCAACGATGCGAACCAGCCAAACGAACAGGCTGTAGGCTTGTCACGTTAGAAAAACAATCTCTTTTGTATGGTGTCAAATGAATGTATACTTTTTATATCAAAGTTGTAGCTCTCAATGAGATGTACAGCTTTATAATTTTGAGTTTTTATATTTGAGATATTTAAGATGCTTGAGAAAATAATATATAGTTTCAAGAGCATATTAAACGTGCACAGGCGCTTGTTGCCTCATAAAAGTTATATTTTTCCTGAAAGGTGTCAAATGAAGATACTTTTTATATCAAAGTTGGAGCTGTCGTGATGAGATCTTCAAGTTTTAAGTTTTTAAGTTTTTCTTTGAGGTCGTTTAAATGCTCAAGAAAGTAATACAAAATTTAAGGGGCATAATTGAAATTTGGGTTGTCCGAATCATAGTTAGGTGGCGCCCATTCCGCAGTGGGCGGCCGTCACACTGCCGCTTCAATAGCAGGCCGGTAATAATCTGAAAGTGAATCATCAACCACCCGTTTAGAAGCCGCTCATGCAACAACGTTTAAGTCAATCCTTCCGCCCATATTATTTAGTCTAGTTGTTGGAGGAAATACACCTTGAACACATTACATATACTAGCTGAGCTTTGTCCCTAATCGTGACTAGTTGTTATTCGTTTGGAGCGATTGTCCCCCAGCCGGCAATGCCAGTTTATTTTTTTAGGAAAAAAAACACTTTCAGCGACTGCCGGAATCATTCAGAGAACGGCTACAGATAACCGAGTTATTATGAAAAGGAAATGCTACCGGAATCGGAAGTAGCCGTGCAAACTGCACAGGTGCAGTTATAGATGTCAATGGGCCCCCGTTCCCCGAATCCCCGCCGAGAATTCACCCATTAGGAAACGGGGATGGTATGAATTCTACCCCCACGGGAGATTAAATGGAGCTGAAGTTATCCCCGTCGGGGATCACAGGGAAGGGGATGGTATGCAGGCCCCCATCCCCGCTCTCCACGGGGATCCGATTCCAAAGGCCCATATACTGACAAGGCTCAATACATGTGATATATAAGCAATGTTGCAACTCTAGCTCCTCACTTTCTCAGTCCCCAACTCACCCTCTCGCAGCTGCCAGCCACCGCTCACGCTGCCTCCACCCTCTCTGGTCAATCCAAGCGACCACGCCGCACGGAGACAGGGCGAGGCTAGTAGGCACATGCGGGCGGCCGAGCGTGTGTGCAGATGCTTACGCTGCACTGCTACAGCGAGCAACCATGCGGGAGTGGCGGACTGTCCGGGCTACAGATCTGCAGAGCTAGGAGCAGCACTGGTAAGCATTCGGTGGCTACCCTCTATTTCTAGCTATTGGTTTATCTTCTCAGTGATACATTTTTTTATTGCCTTCCTTCTCACGTCCTAGATTGGAGCTTGTTGCTGCAAGGCATGGCCGATTTGGAGCTTGTTCGGAAGGCATCTGATGCACAGTCTGATTGATGCTTTGAAGCATGGCCGTGAGCCCGTGAGGACTTTATGTCCGGATTGGAACCCGTTGGTTGTAGATGTGTTGATTTATAAATTTGTGATGTCTTTGTATAATGGATTTGTCTGTATATTATTAACGTGAATTTATGAATACATAAATGGTCAAGATGAATTATCATGAACTCACGTGGGTACGGGGATACCATGGGGATATCATGAACTCAAGAGGAGGATGGGGAGAAAGTCTCCCCGTGACCCTTGACGGGGACGGAGATGGGGATGGGGATGGATAACTTTCTTCCCCACGGGGACGGGGATGGGGAGGCACTCCCCGTGACATCTGGAGGTGCAGTGAGATGCTGCACAACACTGCAGGCAACCAAACCTCATGGCCGCCGCACCCTGCACGCTCAACATGGCCTCAGTCCTCCTCCTGCCGCTTCTCTTCTCCGTTCACTGGCCGGGCCGCAGCCACGCTTTCAGCCTCATGAACTACCTCTGCAACAACGGCAGCTCCTACGCCCTTAACTCCACCTACCGCTCCAACGTCGTCGCGCTCCTCGGGTCCCTGTCCACCAACGCGTCCAGCTCCGCCGTAGGCTTCGCCACCGCCACGCTCGGCTACGCCCCAGACCAGACGTGGGGCCTCGCGCTCTGCCGCGGCGACGTCAACGGCAGCGGGTGCGCGTCCTGCCTCGCGCTCGCGCCGGACATCGCCTTCGGCGACTGCAGGGGCGTCAGGGACGTGTCCATCTACTACGACCGCTGCCTCCTCCGGTACTCGGACACGGACTTCCTGGCCAGCCCGGGCGATGCAGCGGAGCTGGTGCAGTACGGCACCAACCTGCAGGTGAACGTCGCCGCCGACCCCGGTCGGTTCGTGGGGCTCGCGGCCGACCTCGTGGCGGCGCTGTCCGCCTGGGCGGCGCGGAACTCGACGGCGAGATACGCCGCCGGGGTGGTGACCTCCGCCAAAGGGTTCACGACCACGGACAGCAACTTGGTGCACAACATCTACGGGCTGGTGCAGTGCACGCCCAACCTGGCTCCCGAGGCGTGCCTGGCGTGCCTCGGCAGGCTCAAGGACGAGATGCCGGCCGTGTTCAACGGCTCAACCGGCGGCCAGTTCAACGAGGTCTGGTGCAACCTGAGATTCGAGGTGTTCCTCTTCTATGACAGCAGCCCGGTAGTGAAGCTTGTTGCACCTCCGTTGACGCCGGCTCCGCCGGGTGCAGCAGTCCACGACGATGGTAGGCTCTTTGCATAATTTCAGATAGAAAAACAGAAACCCAAATCATCATAGTAATTGTAGCAAGTATCTATGAATCGTCCACAAATATAAATTATGAGATTATCGTTAACAGTTGCAACTACTGTAGTCCTCGAGCTTTTGGCCTTCTTTGGGAGATAGCTCCACTCCTGGGATTCTCTTGCTCTGCTCCTTGATTCTCTGACTCTACTTGATTATGGTGGAGGAGCAAGGCAGGGAGCAGGTAGAATTGATTGTAGAGCGATTTAGTAGAGAGTAGTTTTTTTTTAAACTCCCACCTCCTAGTGTAAACGGAAAAGTGATTCTTACCAGCTCCCCGCCTAAGTCACTCTGCCAAACATCTCCTTAATCGCTCTAATTATCTGCATTGTATGTATTGTATCTGCAGCAAAGAGGACAAGGGGAACAGGATATGCAGCAACAGTAGTGGCCATTGTTCTCGGGGTCCTAGTTGTCCTCCTCCTGTCCACGTTCATGATCTACCTCTGGAGAAAAGCACAAGTAAAACGATGTGAGTTGTGCGCCCTGTTCCTGATCAAGTTCTGCATATATCTTTGATATTTCAGAAAACATAAATACTAAGAATAAAAAGAAAAGGATGGTAGAAATGAGTCTCAAAGCAAAAAGAACATGGCGAAAATTCATAACTTTAATGGTGAACGATGAGAATAAGCACGTGTATGCAGATGCGGAGGAAGCTGACGATTCCGGGTCGCTCCTCTTTGACCTGGCAACACTGAGAAGGGCAACTGCAAATTTTGCCGAAGAGAATAAGCTTGGACATGGAGGCTTTGGCGCGGTATACAAGGTACCATTGCTAGAGAGTTGTGTAGAGACACATCTCTCTGGGGACATTCAGAAATATGCAGTACATCATAAACAAGGTGCCTAAAATTTCAGGGTTTCTTGCCTGATGGACGACAAATCGCCGTGAAGAGGCTGGACAAGGCTTCAGGGCAAGGCCTGAAAGAGCTGAGGAACGAGCTGGTGCTGGTCGCCAAGCTTCGGCACAACAATCTTGCAAAGCTTCTCGGCGTTTGCTTGAAGGGACAGGAGAAGCTGCTTGTCTACGAGTACATGCTTAATCGAAGCCTGGACACCTTCCTTTTTGGTACAGAACACTGCCACTGTCCTTCCTGTGCTCGACCTCAGACATGCCAATTAAGAATCTTTGACTCCTCAAGATGCGAGTATATCACTAATGTCTGGCCTTCTTGCAGTCCCTGAGAAGCGTCCATTGTTAGACTGGGAGACAAGGTACCGCATACTCTCTGGAACAGCACGAGGCCTGCTATACCTCCACGAGGATTCACAGATCAGAATCGTCCACCGCGACCTGAAGGCGAGCAACATCCTGCTGGACGCCGACATGAACCCGAAGATCTCCGATTTCGGGCTGGCAAGGCTCTTCAGCGCCGACAAGACTACCACCATCACGAGCATAGTTGTCGGAACGCTGTATGTAATTGAACGATCAGTCCACATGCCCACATTGCTATGTGCTGTGTTCTTCCTAGCTTCTTCGTCGAGCAGTAGTTCCGCGATCTGAAAACTCAGCTGTTTTCATGCTTGGCAGAGGATACATGGCGCCAGAGTATGCAGTTCTTGGGCAACTGTCGGTGAAGCTTGACGTTTACAGCCTCGGCGTCCTCATCCTGGAGATCGTCACTGGACGTAAGAACACCGACATGTTCGAATCAGCAGCAGGAGAATCCATCATTCTGCTGAGCTACGTGAGTTGTAGTCCTAGTCCTACCTATTGTTCTTTTAATTTTCACACACCGCTGGGTCACTGGGTCAGAAACACCGTCGTATACTTGTACTTTTTTTTAGAATTATACAGTACAAACGCAGATGCCGATCACGCACACTCGTAAATGATATTGTCTTGTGTTACTAGGTGTGGGATCACTGGGTCAGAGGCACCGCGCTGGAGGCCGTGGACCCGTTCTTGGATTGCCAGTCCCCGGAGACGGAGAGCGAGGTGATGAAATGCATCCATCTGGGGCTGCTCTGCGTGCAGGAGAACCCGGCGGACCGCCCGACCATGCTCGACGTCCTCGTCATGCTGCACGGCCAATCGTCAGGCGGCTTTGCGGCACCGTCGAAGCCGGCCTTCGCCTTTGCGTACGGGGAAACGATGAGCTCTGATGAGCGGCGTAACGTGTCTTTGAACGGGATGTCCGTGTCGGAGTTCCAGCCAAGATAGATGGACAGAATCACGGAAGACACGATAGGAATATAGGGATGCAAGCAGGTGTGCCAGCGGAACTTGCACGTCCTGCGGTAGCCTGCATTGTAGAGTGAATGGACCCAGGATCCATACAATTTAATTCCTAGCGCATACTCTGCGTGCCGCAGTGTCCTGTTGGACTTTGCAGAAACATATAATGTACAGTATAATATAGAGTACCACCAGACTACATTGATTTACCACCAGACTATGCTGACCCTACAGACTACGCGTACCTGAGACGGAGAATTCCTACACGACGTGTCGCTGTCTGATGATTTATGCAAATGCGGAACAGATGAGCACACGTAGTTTAACGGAAGTCAGCAGAAGAAATATAAGGAAGGTCCACATCCATGTTGTTTCCACCGGTACATAGTGTGTCTACCTTCATTAAAATTTTCCTGGCCTACAGATGTTAACAGTAATCGCACCAGCAAGTCAATGAAATGGACACATAATTACATACAAGCATGAAAAGGTCATCATCCTCCAGAAGCACTAGTAGTATAATATGAACTGGGATCTCGATTAGTAGCATCAGGAAGTCACACCAAACAAAGGAAGGTCATCATCCTCCAGAAGCACAAGTAGAATAATATGAACTGGGATCTCGATTAGTAGCATCAGGAAGTCACACCAAACAAAGGGTGTATACATGCTGGGGACATCCAAGATTACGTTTCAGAGTCAGACAACCTCCAGAATCAAGAAGATACTTCAGAAATGGAACCGCCTAAAAACACTATGCTCTAGTCTATTACAAGTGCGGGAAAAAAAGACCCAGAAAGCATGCAAATAATAATCAGTGCACACAAACGCTTCCGAAGTTCAGGAAATACTATTTCCCTCGCCGTTTTACTTGTCTCCATTGGCATCATCCTCGCTATCCCTTTTCCTCTTATTTGGCAGGGAAGATCCAGCTTTGCTTTCGATGTCTTCTGCGTCTGCATCAAGTTCGTCATCCTCAGCTTCACCGTCTTCGTCTTCGGCCTGAAAATGGTCAAATGTATTATTATTGCTGAATAAGGTTCACCAAATTCTTTGCCACAAAATCAAGTTTCAATCGGTAAACTAGACTGCTCAATCAAACTTGTTTAGGTCACTCAAGACGATTGCAGGGAAGTCCAAGAATGAGCTAGATAGAATGGTTTGTGCGGGGTACGACCCCGGATACCCACGGCAAACTACATGGGCTGCGCTCCAAGGGGCGGTTCAGCCCACAAGACGAAAAACTACGGTGCACGACACTGCTCGACGTGCACCGCAAGACATCAAGGGCGATATCCTAAAGATACCACGAGATTTGTTAGGATACGTTCGATCCTATGATTCATGTAATCTGTTATTACTTACCGGTTATCTCCTAGATCTAACCGACTTGTAACCCTGCCCCCAGACTATATAAGGCGGGCAGGGACCCCTCAAAACACACGTAAGATCATACGAAGTAAATACAATCCAACAGATCACAGGAGTAGGGTATTATGTCGCGCTGACGGCCCGAACCTGTCTAACTCTTGTGTCTCTGTTGCCTTCTTGTTCTCGATTACACGCATCTCTGCCGATCAATCTACCTTCGTGGGGTACCCCTCTGGTTCAGCGCCGATCACCCTCCGATTCTGATCCATCGGAGGCCGATCAGGAAACTCCAGGGGTTACGGCCCCACCCTTTGGGCTCACCAACATCACCGCCTCTTACAAAGATGCCCTAAGGGGCAAATTCACCGACCAGGTGGCAGACATCCATCCTCTCGCCGACCGGATTGCCGACCAGCTCTCGCCGACTGCCAACATGCTGCACATCGGCCGACGCCCTGAAGCATCCCTCCACACCATCCTGGAGGAGAATCCAGACTCCGAGTCCTAAAGCTCCATGGAGACTGTCGCCGAAACCGCCGCCGTCCAATCTCCTTTCCCACTCTTTCGAGGAGGTGGGATTTTTAACGTCAGTGTTGACATCCCTCCGCGGGATGGAGAAACCGACGAGGACCGCGCCGCTCGTGTCAACAGGAACTCCAACCGTGCGCAGCACCGAGCAAATGAGGCCGCCATTGTGCTAGCAGAGGCTGCTCGCAACGAATAGCTCGACTCGCAAGGGAGGCCACACCCACTCCAACGCAACCTCGACGACGAATTTATCCGTGTCGACGACCACGACGTCTACAAGACCCCAAGCGCCAACTTGGCCGTGGCCGCCAATGAGCTCGCCCGGCTCAAGCAAACGCCAGAAGTCGCCAAGGTCACCGCAATGCTCAAAGCCGCACACTGCCAGGTCAACGAGATCCGCCAGGATCAGAGACCTTCCTACTCGACGAGCTCGATTCATCGATCCGCTGCGCCATGATCCAATCGCCGCCCCAGCAGAAGCCATTTCGCCGACCAGCATCGTGATGATGGACAACCCCTCTAGGGGGGAGCTAGGGGGAACCGCATCGACTACCCTCGCCAACACGACCAAGAAGTCGACCAAGACGTCCGAGCGCACATCAACAACCTCCGGCACGCGCGACGTCACATCGACGGGCGCCGTTTCTCTTGCCATGAAGAGGAAGTACGCCGACGTCAAGAATACGAGCAAGAGTTCGGTAACCCGGACACAACCCTCTAGCCACTCAACGCCGGCAAAGCCGCAGATCATGACGGTGACGACCCCGAAGGGCCCCGAGCATTCACGAGGGCACTCCGAACACTCCAATGGCCCCGTGGTTTCAAAATCACCGGGGTCGAGCCCTACGAGGGGCGGA